TTTTTTTTTCGATGATTCGTTTCTTTTTTTGGTGCCAACTCTCCACACAACAAAAGCGATTGGACGACGACCAGGGCAACCAGCTCGAAGTGTTGCCAAATGCTCTCTGATAAGGCCCATTGCAGTCGCAAGTGAACCCATTTTGTCGCAGCGCTTCCGGTTGCAGTATTGCAAAGAGCTTTGTGTTAGTTTGCAAATAATATGTACACACTCATGCATACATATGTATGTATGTACATACACATGTTTGTATGCATGTGCACGAGGAATAACTGTCCTTCCCTTGCGCTAACAGCTTGCAGCGACAGAAGGAACAGTTATCTTTTTTCATTATTTTGTTTTTGTTTTTTGTTGTGGTATACTTTTTAACTGTAAATACCCGAAATGCCCTTACATATCGTGTACTTGGCATATTGAATGCAACCTTTGCTTAATCTATATACAATTAAGGATTTTTTTTACCATACAATATCAGAATTCACCTAATCTATAAACTATCTAAACTTATCGAGATCTAAACATAAAAGACGAATAGGTTTATCAATTACATATGGGAACACTAGCCAAAAAGTGTAATTATATATATTATTTCAAATTTAAAAAAATTATGTATGTTTTACAAATTTTTTTATTGCAAATAGAATTAATTCCCGATATCGTTCATTTAATCGTTGAATTTTAGAGAAAAGTACCACACAATATAATCTAAAGAAATTCATATTTACGACTATTCTACATAGGGTTATGTACATAGATATTTACGTGCATGTAAGGAACGAATACATTTAATTACAATGCTGTACGCATTAGACAGCTACACAATTAAATTCAATCAAAAGAGCTAATTAAAATTTTTTTGTAACTCTGGTCCGATGAAAACGAGAACAGAGAACAGAAAACAGAAGGAAAACAACAACACATTTTCCCCTCACAATCAAAACGAAAATGTACAAAATGCAATGGAATATTGTTTACCGTTAGCAGCGACGGCGGCGCTGACAGCGCGTTACAAATAAGCACCCAACGAAACAACTTGTACTACAGAGCGAGCGGGACAGCGATAGGCGACAGAGTGGGCGACGACGAGATCCAGTTTGGGGACTTTGCCATTCACACTCATCTTTAGCATTTGTAATTTTTCGTTGCTGCAGCTGCACAACATAAATTCAATTGTTGCCAATATTTTCAAAACGTTGCCAGAAGCAGCAGCAGCAGCAACAACAACAGCGGCATCCTCATCAATACCGACGACAGCAAATTCAATTTTCATTTATCCATCGGCTCATCTATTCATCTATTTGACTGCCTATTGCTATCTCGCTCTGCCCCCCATTTATGGCGTGTGATTTTTTGCACTTTCAACTGTGCAGTTGAAATGTGCTTTGCGTGTGTGAGTGAGTATGCGTGTGAGTGCGCCGAAAACAAATAAAATGTGTGGCTGTGCATTACAATACATTGGTGGGAGGGGGAGAGTGACAGTTCTGCCCACCACCTTTCCAAACCCAATATCCAATTAGTGGGCAGCTCCCCTCCCCAAACTGACATCAGTCAGAGCCAGTTTTGATTCCCACTCTCATTGTTCCAACGGGCCTCACAACGTTTGCTTTTTATGGCCTCTCGATGCTACTGTCGTTATTGTTGTTTTTGTTGCTGTCTGCATTCGGCATTTGCCATTTTGTGTGTCTTGCTGTTGTTGTTGTTCTGTCCCGAACTCTTCGCTTACGCTGCCGCTTATCTGACATTAAACGACGCTGCTGCTGGTGCTGCTGCTGCGCTGCCCTCAACTGCACACTACGCTTCACTTTGCTGTGCTCTGCTTTTGCTTTTGCTTCAGCTTAAACGTTCGTCGTTTCGATTTCGGTTGCCCGATGCCATCGCAGTCATTCCCGTTCCCATTTTGTACCCGCGCGCATCTCTCGAGTGGGAGCCCAAGGTGCAACATTGGCAACGGGCCTGGGCCTGGGCCAGCTAGACGCGCCGTGAAACAAATGCCAGGCACTGTAGTAAGCATGCACAAGCTCTCTCTCACTCGCATACACACACTCTCGCACACACACACATGAATGAACTCACATGTATGTATGTATGTATCTATAAGTATGTGACGTTTCTGCCGCAGCCATCGCCACCTGCCATTTGGGGCGCAGCATTTGTCGCCATTTATTTACACGATTAGAAATCGATTTTATGCGTTTGGATAATATTTCGAATGTAGAGAAACACATACATACATACCTACATATGTACAACAATAGACATTTTGTGTGTATATGTATATACATACATGTGTGTACAATCATACATAGAACGTATTGCCCGTCATTAAAATGATTTATGTCAAACATATCGAAATGAGGGTTGCGAAATCGATTTGTGCGTGTGTGACAACACGGCGTATCACACCCACAATTACCTCCAACATTCTAGCAACTGTGCAAACCAAAAAACAATAGTAAAAATACCTAACAAAAGCAAACAAGTAAAACTACAAATTACTATCAATTAAGTTAAGCCGTATGACTAATTAGCGCAGGCGCAAGCAGCGAACCGTTAATATGCAGTAATGCTCAAGTACAATCAGAAAGCTTAAGAACTGAACACAAACAAAGCTCGCGCTAGCCCTGCATTGGCTATTCGACATGCTTACTCACTCACAGAAACGAGTTAAAGCTAATTGATTAATAACATTCGAACGAAAAAAAGCTTAGGCATACGTTTAAAACAACTACAACATTCAGCAGTTCCAGTCTAAGCACACTGAACGGAGGGGAACTGTGAGATTGGGCCGTAAAAGAAACGAAAATAAAAATAAAATAAAATAAAAAGATGGCAAAATCCAAATTCAATCCACTTCGTGGCGCTGTGCCCGACATAGGCCAAATACTAGATGCCATATAACAACAACTACAATACACCCACATTGCCAATTTTAACACACATGCACACACACACACGCAGCAAAGTTCGTGAGCAAATCTCAAATTAAAGCAAGCAGAGTCAACGACGAGGTAGCGTCGCTGCCGCAGTCGACGCTCTGCTGCGTTGATGGATTGTAGCCCGCAAACATACACACGCACACATATTTGTATGCATATAAATATACATACATATATACACTCACGCACAGCCACGACGGGCCGAGAAAAATACAATCCAGTGGAATCGTTTGGCCGGTGACTCTTTCGGCTTGTCTTATGTTCCTTGGTCGCCTCCCTCTCTCTCAATCCACAAACTCACTCACGTGAGTGTGTGTGTGTCGTGTGCCAATGCTCATGGCGTTCACTGTCCCCGAGACAAATAAAAAATAACAAAACAAAAAATTACATACTCTCCGGAACGAAACGAAATGAAATAGAAGGCAAAACTCTGTTGCTGCTGCTGCTGATGGTACTCTTTTTCTTTGGTATATTATTTCAACCATTTTTATTTTTTTTTTTGGTTCGGTTGACTTGTGCGTGAATTGGCTCTCGCAGTTCTTCCCTCAAGATTTTACGAGAACCGTTTCAATCCCTCTGATTTGAAGGTGTTTAATTTAAGTGACCCCCACCACCTTTTTTTTATTTCTTAGGGAAAAGGGACACTTCTAGTTCCGTTTCTCTTGTCCAACTTTGTTCCATTGTTGTTGTTTCGCCACAGAGCACAGCAATATTCGGTTCCTCCCCACAAAGGAACGAAAAATTGCGAGCCGGCACAAAAAAAAAATGCGAATTCGAATAGAAATTGTGCGTAACACCCCACATTTTGGGGTAAAATTTGGTGAGCAATGCGGCCAAGTTGTTGTCTTGTTGAAAAAATTTACCTGTGTCAAGTAAAACGCTGCTTGACGACTGCTGCTGCTGCTTATCGACGTCCTCGCTTTGTTGCGCACTTTCGTTGTTTGTTTGTCTGCTTCTCTGCTTCTGCTTTTCTAATACACTCGCACAGAAACGGAATTTGGCGATTGCGTGGCTTTAGGCCTGCCCGCAATTCTCATTTGATTTTCAGCGGCTTTCCCTTTTTTGGCAAACAATTTCATATGCTCAATTCACCTATTCCCCTTATTTTTGCCCGCACTCACATATATGTACACAGTTTCGCGGGCACACGCATATGTATACGCACACATGCACACGTCGATACGGGGCAATAATTTTCGCCGTGGGCGTTTTTCTTCACATTGGTTTTTTTTTTTTAAATTTGTGTATTTTCTCATTTATGTCGCCACAATTGTTACAAGTGCAGCCGCCCACAAAGCTTAACGTGCATCGGTTTACGACAGTTTTCACTGTTCACTGCACATAGTACTTGTTGGTATATATATAATTTTTAACTTGAAAATAATGCTTGAAATTTGCAACACACTTTTTCGCACTTTCGCTCTGCCGTCAATAAAACCGCGCGTGAACCGCACGACAACCGAAACGAAAATGAACCGATGCAATAATATGGCAACTGAAATGAAGTGGAATCGAGTACGTCTGACGCCGGCAGCGCTGTCCAAAAGAGAGCGTGACAGATCTGAATTTTGAGTGTAACTAACACTAGAAAAATGTTTTATACATTTTTTTCTAAATTAAGTGTTGAATATTTCGTATTATGAGCCAAAAAATTAACAAAATTATAAATATTGACACATGAGATACAATATATGCATTTTATTGAGTTTACTGTGAGGCAGAGTGGCTTGAGTGCGAGTGTGAGTTTATACTCAGCTCAGCATTGTTCTCTTTCATTTATATTATCTTTACATATGTATGTGTGGAGTACAAATTTGGAAAAACAAAACCAAGTCAACTCAAAAGGCACTCAATAACGCTTGCGCTGTTACTCAACATGGATCTGTTAACTTTGTTAACATAAATTACTGAAGCGGTAAATTGCACTGCTTAACTCAAGCCAAGCCTGAGTCCATTTTAACAGGGAACTCAAGCATTACATTTTACATACAATTGGATTGAGCGCTGTTATTCAAATTTCAATTGGTTTTGGTCTATCCCAACCGATTCTATAACCTTTATATATACAGTATCTCAATCAATCTTAGATTTGGTATATTCATTTACAGTTGAAAAATCAGTTAACAATGGGTGGCGGTAAATTGAAATGCTTAAAAGTTAAAGGTCAGTGGATGCACCGCAAAGTAGCCTTTGCTCTTGGCCACCTGCTTGGACAGTCGCAGCAGGTTGTTATCGTTGTTTATATAGTTGCCATTGTAGATCTCCATGGCAAGGCGCAGCACATCGTCCCGCCCCTGCGAGCAAATGGCTGTAGCGGTTAGCAGTTCGTGATCGGCTAGCGGCAGGCCGATGCAATAGGAGCGCGAGGCACGCGCTATGCTCGCCCACATGGCATAGATAATGGTCGCTATGTTTGCTAGGCGCTGTAGCTCGTGCTGCCGCTCTACAACAGAGTTGCCATATCGTGTAAACATCAGCTCCACGGCCATGTTCAGGCGTGCCACCGAGTGCTCAATGTACTGGGCAGGCGCCTCGAGAGTGGGATGCACATGCTCCGCCAGCCGCATGTTCGTCTTGGGACTCTCCAAGCTGGTTGAGCTTAGGAATTTGCTAAAAATCGAGCCGGGATTGAAGAGCGGATTGCGTAGCTTTCTCACGCCTTCATTCATGCGAATCTATGAATGGCAAGAGAAGCGAATGAGATTGCTTTGCTCCAATTGATTTCACTGCATACTCACGCCCGCATGCTGTAGTCCAGACAGCGCTATGAACATGCTCAGCGTGGTCAACGATTCGCCCTGCGTGCACAACTGAGCACTGTCCCTCAGGGCCAGCTCCGCTGGTTGTCCGCTGTGCAGACTCGCCGGCCCGAGCAGGCTCAGGTTCTGTGTGGAGATTGCGTACAGCTGCTGCAGCGTGTAATATTTCGTGATGGCAGTCTCCAGCGTCACATCCTGGTTGTTAAACTCGTCCATCAGGCCCGCTGTCAGATAGAGCATGCTCTCCATGGCGTATATGGAGCACATTGCCTGTGAAAGGTTTACCTTGGTCATCTCCAAATCTCTGAAAGAATAAGAATATTGATTAGAAACAATCTGACTAATGGATCTCCCTGACTTAAGAGAGGATGAGCATGGGGATACTCTAGCTGGTAGGTGCTACCCTGGCTATGCCTTTCCACTTACTTGACCTGCACCCCACATTGCGTTGTCTCCACGCTGAAATTTGTCAGGTGATTCAGCAGCCGCTTGGATAAGCCGATGCCGAGCAGAGTGCTCCGCAGTCGACTGAAGCGCATCAGCTGCTCCGAGTGGCGATTGCCTTCGTAGGCCCGGCCTAATATCTGCTGATTGCTCAATTGCACCTGGTCGAAGTGAATGCGTCGCATGACCGCCTCCCGGCAGCCGAAGGTAGCATGCGTTTCGCCCAGGCGCACGCCTGGCTGCTTCCCATCGACCAGAAATAGGGTCAGCTCACGTCCCAGTTCGCCGGTCACATTTATATTCTGCGTCTGTGCGAGCACAAGGAACAGTTGACTTGCGCCGGGTGGAGCCATAACAACGAATGCCTTTTCGCCCTCAAGTGTCCAGGTGTGCTTGTCCAGATCGTAGCTGGCCTTGGTGCCAAAGAGATCGTTTTCGGGCGGTGCGTACTCGAAAATGGCATCGCTGGCTACCAGTTTGCCGCTGCCCAGTTCCGGCAGGTATTTCTGCTGTTGCTCCGGTGTGCCTAGTTCCCGCAGCATGTCCACCACCACGCGATGTGTCTGCAGGCTGAGCGCCAAGCTGGTGTGGTTCGACTCTGGTTCACTGGCCATGAGACTGGCGCTCCAGGCATACCCCTTGCCGTCATAGTCTGTGGGCACGTTCAGCCCGTAGAGGCCGAGCTGCTGCAAATTCTCCAGCGAGTGGGGCTGGAGAGGAGCTTCTGCAAAGTAATCCTTTACCGGCAGCAGTGCGTTTTGCAGACTGGCCATATCCTCCCGATTAATGACCTCTGGATAGCCAAGCAGCTCATTGTCCGCCAAACCGACAAAGAAGTTCTTGACCAGCGGTTCACGTGCCGGCAGTCCTTGTTGCGCTGCAGCGCTCGCCTCCTCCGGCGATCGACTCTCCTCAGCCCATTGCTGTGCGTTGACGCTGCTGTTGCTTGTGGCGGTCGCTTTGCTGCCTGCGCTGCGAGCTAACAGAAATGTTCCGCATCTATTGTGATTTTTATTTAATATTCTGACAGCACGCGAAAACAATTGGTAGCGCATCTTGCATTAGGTAATGTGAACGAACAATAGAGATGCACATTCGGTATTTATATTCATTTGCCGCTTTCGATAGTAACATCGTTATCGATTTCTCGTGCTGAAGTATTTTTTTCAAATTCGGTATATTGCACATATTAATGTTTCTTAATTTTAATTAGGTAACATAATCAATAAAGATAGGTAGTTAATTTTAATAATCGGTAATAAGGCGTAACTGGCATTGTATATTTGAGATATTGCCGGTCTTTAACGGACCATCGAGCTGGTCACGGTTATATATCAACGTATCGATAGTATGTCAGTCGATGATTATGGCGAGCGCTTAATTATTTCAAATTACATTTCAGATGTTGTCATTTAAAGAGTATTTTGTGAACACATGCGTCTATTATAACTTATATCTAATTGCTGTTACATATTGTCTTTTTCTGAATTAGTTTTTTTCTGAAATAATGTCATCAGGGAAATCCATTTTTATGGCAGATTTATGCAAGCTGATTTGGAGTTTATGTCTTCTTTGTTCATTTGCACTGATCCAAGCATATGCTTGACTCACAATCTGCTCATTAATTAAGGGACACTTACGCACATAGATAGTTTGCAGTCGTTGCAGTCCTTTTATCAGTGCCAAAAACTGGTCATCTGTAATCCAAGGCATCACCATGTGAAGCTTTTCTAGCTGTTGCAGCTTAAGGAATTGCTCAATGGGTGTTTGAGCACAGCAGATATCCAGTTCCTTTAGGCTTGTGATGTTGCAAATGTATTTCGTTTCCTCTGCATTCAGCTGCGGACCCCGTAGTACCAGCACTTCTAGCTGCAGTGGAATAAGACTTTCCAGCAGCCTAGAACGCAGGGCGCCCGCATCGATCCGCAGCCACAGATGCTGCAGCTGGCTCAATTGACTCATAAGCTCCGGGCACAACAACACCTTGTATAGGGCGAATCGTTCCAGGTGCTTACAGTTCCGAACGATGATCTCAAAGTGGCGTCTATAGAGCTGTTCGAATGCATGCCCGCAACTATACTTCACATAGCTTTGCACTTGGTCCCCGATCAGCTGCAGCAGTTGCTCCAACTCCTCAGCGCTCAGCATTTGGATTAGCTTTTCATCCAAGTGCTTGTAGCGGCGTTTTGCATAGTTCCTGAAGATGCTGTAGAGTCGTTTGCTGACCTGAGCCAAACGCACTTGGCTGATCACATCGAGATATGATATTACTAGCTCCCAGCAGGAGTCACTTAATCCCGTCTCGAAATCGTATTTCGCGCTACTATTTCCCATTTGGTGTTGCTGTTCGAAGATCAGATGCGATTGTTGACCGACGTCGCACCTCAGCGTTTCAGCTGGGGATTCACTATTAAAGAAACTGTAAATCAGCTGTGTGAGAGCGAGCAATCGGAATTGCTTCTGATTGGAATGCATGGAATGAAACGAAATGGAATTGCAGCTGTGACAGCGCGCAGTTTAAAATTTTAAATGTTGCACGAATTTAATGAAGTCCTATTGCAATTTGAATTTGTATTGACGTATGGAATGACGATGTACTTTATAGAATTTCTTGATTTATAATTATATTCATGAAATAAAATTAAAATTTGCCACTTTCTTCGGTTAAAAATAAATAAAAAATTAAAACAGTTTTTTCATTTGGATTAAAAACACAAAACCCTTTATTTGATTCATTTTGTATATTGGTGTTATATAATTGCTATTGACTGGGCACATTAAGCTCTCTACTTAAAACAGTTAAACGAATAAAGAAACATTTGTTTTTGTTTTAGTGTGTTGTGTATTCAAATTGTTTTCTTTTTTTCATTTTCTTTTTTTTTATATTTTATATTTTCTGCTGTTAGTTTCACTTATTTGTGTGGAACTGTTGTCCTTTTTGTATATATTCTTTTTTTGTTTTTGTTTTATTGTTTACTTTGTATACCACCTAGATTGAAAATTTGTTAATAGCGGTAGTTAGTTATACATAGTTATAGTCAGGTATCAATGGAAATAAGAGTTTAGTATTAGAATTTAACACAGTTGTAAGTATGTACACACGCAGACGTATATGTGGCACAGGTAACTACATACCTGCGCCTATGCCTATATCGTATACCAAGTGGTACACACACACGCACTAACTATAGCATTATTATTGAAGTACAGTTGTGCTTGAAAGCTGCTCGATTCAATTACGAGAACATATATACAGTACATATATATGGATGTTTATATATATTTACTTCGCAAATTTTTCAAGCACTTATTGCATATGCAAGAGATTGAAAAAAATAAAATAAAAATGAAACAATCAAACAAAAACAAACTAAATTACCATTTAAATTGCATTTGTTGTAATGAACAAAAACAAATAAACTAAATTTGTTTAATTGTGTTTAACTAAAGATCTATATATGTTATATAGAAATACCTCATCATCTAGCAGCTCATATCGTATCACAGGCACGCTTTCAAAAAAACTCACTCAATGAAAAACAAAAAAAAGTTAAAAAGAGAAGATAATTAGAAAGATATTTAAATAATTGAAATATTCGCAATGAACTCAGTTTCAATTAGATCAGAACTATAGACGAAGAATCTACGCTTGTAGATCGCACGCTACGCTAACAACAACGATCGATATGAGCTGGCCAACACACACACACACTAACACACACCCATACGCACACAACTTTCCAAATTTCTTATTTCGGTAAACACTTCTAGAGACACATATTAAGAAATATAAATCAGATATATCTTAATTCCATCTGATTTACGAAATTGTGTGAAAACAAATTCACTTTGAAAACGTTAAACATTTGTATAGACGATAAATTTGATAGGGCTGCTAGGATATCGAAACTTAAACAGAGATAGACATAGCATCTCTAACGATTCATGGATTATAATAGATTATAGTAGATTTAGCTCTGCTTAAAATATGTTTCTCGTCTATTAACCAAATCAAATTTATGATTAAACTAAATTTAATTAGTGTTAGAAGTTGTCTACGTCAATTGGATAATTTGGCAAGGCAAATGAATACGGCTCTCTTCTAGATACTGATAGATATCCCATTCTTGCCGCCCCATTGGCCCATTTGATAAATTCATTCTCACACGCACACTTAATTCACTCATTCGCACCCATTTCTATATTCGTATTGCATATGATTTGTTGTAACTATTTTTTAGTATTGCTATGCGGAGCTGCTGCAGCTGCGGCTGCTCCTGCCGAGAGTTAGCTGCCCATATTATGGTGGACCTCCAAGGATTCAGTGTAAATTGAGATATTTCTTTGTATCGTTCTTTTCTTTTTTTTCTTCTTTTTGTTTTTGTTTTGTTGTTGGCCCCTTCACAAACAGAGATAGAGTTAGAGATAGAGATAGATAGAGAGTTGGTTGTGTTTAGCTGTACATCGAAATGTTCTCTTTCAAATTTAAACTAGAGGCCTTAAAGTGACTAAAACAGAGGCCGGGCTTGGCTGGGCTGGGCTGGGCAGGTCGGAGTAGAGTAGAGTACAGTTAGAGTAACTAATGAAGCGGTGTGTAAATTATTGGAAATTTGTCTCGATTTCCGCTGTTAGGGTTGCCTGCCTACAGTTGATATCTGGGACAGTGTTGCCAGAGTTGCCAGCGCACCTGCAGCTGCTTCCAGAGGCGCCGTATCATGTCGCCGCCGTTCCCACAGCTGTGGCCGCTGGCGCATGCCACGCCCAGGACGTTTAGCAACTACTAAATCTTGCCGGGACTCTCCTGACGCGCACTGTAGCGCGGCTCCTGTGGCATCAGCGTGTCCGTCACCAGCTCATTGGCCGCCTCCACCAGGCCCTTGGCGTGCGCCGCCGCCGTATCGCAATCCGTGCGCCGTGAGATCAACAGCCGAATGTCCGTGTGCAGCGACAGGCGACCCGATCGAGATGTCTGGAACCTGTAAGCCACAGCGATACAAACATTTCAATACATGATTGCATTTAATTGAGCTTAACCTAGTCGAGGTTTGCCCCCACCCCAAAATTCATATTCTTTCCGTTCTTCTAGCTTTCTTTTCCCTTCACTGACCTCAGGTGGATGGAGTAGCGCAATCGCTTCATCTGCTCGGCGGTAATAAAGTGTCCCAACTTGCTGGTGGTGCTCGTCGCTGCTGTCGGGCTGCTCGGCTCACGTGCACAAGGCTTTGGCTGTTGGTTCTGCAGCGCGATGCCATTGACGCAGGCACTCGCGCCCGGCAGCTCTTCGGCCAAGATGCGCTGGCGTATGAACGTGCGATGCAGCGGCGGCATATCGCGCATGTCGTACGGAATGACAAACATCCGCACCACCGTGCCCATGGGATTCAGCAGCGTGGCCTGCACAGTGCCCGATCGCGGCACAAAGTAACCTTTGCGTGGCAATCGAATCTCGCACTGTAATGAGAGCCAAAGCATTGAGAGAATCGTTTAGTGTGTGGGCATTCACAGATATCAAGGCGGGGGTACGCACCAGGTAGGGCGTGCTGAGCGTCTCGCCGTGCAGCTCATAGAAGTACGAGGAAGCCGGAATGGTTAGCTGTGTGGGGCAGAAGCCGCCCGAGGCGCCGAGCTGCAGACGAAAGCCCGCCACCTCGATCTTGGGCAGCAGACGCTTCTGCAGCAGCGACTCCTCCAAATTGCCAAGCAGCGGTCGCCCCCCGAATTGTGTGGCCAGGCGCGCGCGCGACTTCAGCGGCGAGCCAGCCGGACTGCACATGCCCGACTCGAGATCCTCGTCCGACAGCTGCTCGTCGGAGCCCAGCGAGCTGCGATCCGAGCGATCGCTCAGATGGCGCGAGCGTCGCTTGTAGAAGGCCGCCTGCTTGGCAAAGCGCGGCGACACGGACAGCGCATTGGGCAACGTGGGCGCCGAATAGGATTTCTGCACGGGCAAATTGCCAGCCACTAGCTCCGGCGGCGTCAGCAGCGACGCAGACTGCGACTGCGACTGCGATTGGGCATAGGTGATTGCTGGCGTCTCGAAGCAAAAGGCCAGACTGCTGTCAATCGTAATGGGCGCCGAGCTGCTGCTGCCGCTGCCGCTGCCACTTCCGCTGCTGCTGCTGCTGCAGAAGATCGTTGTCAAGTTAACCTTGGGCAAGGCCTTGCGCAGCAGCGGCGAGAGCAGCGGTGGCGGTGTCTCCCTGTCGAGCATGGAGCCATTGCAGTTCAGCCGCAGCTGATTCGCCGCCTTGGCAGGCAGATTCGCCAACTGCTGCTGCTGCTGCTGCTGCTGTTGCTGGGGCTGAAACTCCTGCAGCTTGAGCGGCACATGGCTGATGGGCGTCTTGAACTGCACCACAATGCGCTCATCCAAGACACAGCCGGCAGCCACATCCGTGGGCGTCTGGCAACGCTCCTGGCCAGCATTCAATGAGCAGCGATCGATGTTGGGCGTCAGCTTTGTCGAGCCGCTCTGCAAGGATGAATGAATGAGGTCATATGAGGGCACATGAATAAGGATATTTGTCGATTGATTTACCAATGCCAACTCCTGCTCCATGCTGTTGTCCTCGTCCTGCTCCACGCTGCCGCCATCCTTGCTGTGCCCATTCGTGCCATTCGAGTGAAGCTCTGCCTGCTGCTGCTGCTTTTGTTGTTGTTGTTGATCTCCCCCAGCTTTGCCATTGGCAAAGTTGTGCTGCGTCTTCTGGCGTTTGCACACCTGACAGCCGCTGCTTGGCGCCGGCTTCACTTGATTGTTGTTCTGATTGCTGCGACTCTGACCCTGCACTAAACCAACATTGAGATCGTTGCACGTTGCTCCCGCAGTTGCTCCTCCTCCTCCTCCTCCGCCTCCTTCTGCTGCTGCTTTTGGCATCGGCTTGCGGTTCTTTGGCGTGCGCTGTATGGCCTGCAGCAGCAGCTCGGCCTTGCTGCGCGGCGTGCCGACAATGAGATCGGAGCTGCTCAAGCTGCAGCTGGATGTGTCCTCCATTTCGGAGGCGCTCGTATCGCCAGCATCGTCCGCTGCATTCCCGTTGCCATGCTCACAGCTCAAGCAGAGCAGCGTCTTCTCGCTGCCGCACTGCTGGCAGCTGCTCAGCGAGGTTTGTGTGCCCGTCGAGATCATGGCAATGCGACGCGGCGGCGCCAGCACTGTGAGCGCCATTGCCTGCGTTTGCGTCTCCTCGTTGCCCTCGTCCATGGGCTCCATGGACTCCAGCTGCTCCGAGGGTTTGCGTTCACGCTTCTTGTCGCGTCGCTGCATTCGCTTGCGATACTTTTGCAGCTGCTTCTCCCGATGTCCGTCCAAGTCATCCGCCTCCACCGCCGCCTCCTGTTGCCTGTTGCCCCCATATTTATCACAGCTGCTGGCGGGCGGCGTTGTGCCTATCACAATTCGTGCACCCAGCCCAGTGGGCGTGGCCGCGCACATGCCACCGCCGCCAGTGGGCGTACTGGCCGCCGGCACAGCTCGCACCACCCGCTGCTTGGCCACCGACGGCGACACGTGCGGCAGGCCGCCATTGAACCGGGGCAAACTCTTCACACAGACCGCAACGCTGAAGTTCTCGGCGATGTTGACGTGCGGAAAGTTGTGCACATTCGCCTTGGCGCTGAAGCCGCCGTCGTTGCCATTGGCATTGCTGCAGCTCAGATCGTGGGGCCTGATCCTGTAGAAGATATTGAGACGCGGCCGTCGCGTTCGAGCCGCTGCGGCTGCTGCTGCTGCACCGCTCTGCCCGGCCAGATCACCCGCATTGTTGCTGTTGCCGCTCGCAAAGATCACGCGCCCGCTGTCATAGACCGAGGGATCGCATTTGCGCAGCAGATCGCACCAGGCCACGATCTGCGAAAAGTAAAGCTGGCTGCGAATCGCGCTGCACAGCGACGGCAGCGTCATTGTCGGCGGTGGCACTCTGCAAGAGTAGTCCAGATTTAGCAGTCGAACAAACAATGAAGTGGGACTAGGACTAGGGACTATACTAGAGACTATGAGGAGCTATGAGGCATTGCCTGAACTAAAAGCTCTCTGACATTATTTCTCTCTAATAAGATCTTTAATATATAGATGTCTAACATAGATCTCTAATATTAATTACTTATATAGATCTCTGATAGAGATATACTATAAATCTCTAAAATAGACCTATAACATAGATCTCTAACGTATATATCTACAATAGACCTCTAATATAAATCTTTGACATAGATCTCCAACACAGATCTGTTTCTACAATAGACCTCTAACATAGATCTCTAAATCTAAGTTCGCTTATATCTTAACAGAGATTTCTAAAATAAATCTCTCACATAGATCTCCATCACAAATCTCTAATATAATTCCAGTTCTAGTTTGGATTTCACACATACTTCTCCTTGCCGCTGATGATCCATTGCTCCAGCAGAATCTTATGTCCAGCTGGCCCCAGATAAACCTCGATGCAGACGGGCTCGCGACGTGCCAGGATGGCCTCCATTTTCATACAGTGGGCACGCCAGCGGGAACACTGTAAAAATGCAAATGCTAGTCAAGAGAGAGAAACAGAGACAGAGAGAGAGAGCCAACTCACGGTTATATTAACGTAAGACATATCACAGAAATGTTCCTCGGTATCAGTGGAGTCGCCCTTGGCGAGGCCCATCTTTCTGAGGAACTGATCACAGTGTGGCCCGTGTTTGGGCCGTGTGGTGCAACTGGAGCTGGAACCTGAACTAGCTCCATTCCCAGTTGCACTGTTGCTGGCAGTGGCTGTTGATGTGGCTGCTGCACCTCCGATTACTCCTCCTCCAACTCCCCCTCCTCCTCCTCCTCCTCCAGCAGTTGCACCACCCAACGGTGTCCGGCTGCAGTTATAATCCAGCAGGCTGGCCGCGCTGACTGTTGCTGTTTGTGTTGGCGAGCCAAAGCTGAGGCCTACACCCAGACTTAGAGGTCGCGCCTCGGTGGTCACAGCGGGTCCTCCCCGCAGACAGGTGGTGGCCAGCGATTGCAGCGAGTGCAATATATTATCCGAGCCAGGCGAGCTGCCAGCACTGGAGCTATTGTTGGTCAGGTGCTCTCCAGCTCCAGCTCCCAATCCTCCTCCACCAGCCGTTGCGCCAGCTCGATTCAACATGACACGGCGCACAATCTCAAAGTCACCACGATCCGCATTCAGGTCATTTATGGACAGCGCCACCAGCTCCGGCTCTGCGCTCATGCTCTGAGCCGCCGGCGACACCTGACGCAGCTGGCAGAGCTTTTGCGTCCAGCGTTGATGCGTGGCGCTGCTGGCGCTCGAGCCATTGCTGCCGCTGCCACTGCTGCTGCTGGTCTGTCCATAGTCACAGTTGTATCCATATCCATATCCCTGAGCCTGGCCATAAGCGGAACGTGGCGTTCCGCTGGCCATTGCATACGGATTCGTTGTTATATTGATGGCGGCCCGTGAAGTGGAAGGGCGTGGCGAATGGCGACCGCTGCTCGACGCTGGCTGCGGCTGCGGCTGCGGCTGATATTGTTGTTGGTACTCGTCGTCAGATATGGGCCTGCCCTCCAGTATGAGCGAGGCCAGGCCCAGAACAATTGAATTGTAGTTGCTTTGCTGCGCTGCCGCCGACGATGCCGCTGCCGCTGCAACCGCTGCTGTGGCAGCAGCAGCAGCAGCAGCTCCGCCGACAGCAGCAGTTGCTGTGCCTCCGGCTCCATTCTGTGCCAGGCCAGCGGCTGGCGGTGAGTTGGTAACGCTTGTGGGTATCATATGGTGGTGGTGGTGGTGGTGGTGGTGTTGTTGATTCTGCTTCTGCTTCTGCTCCTTCTCCTCCTCCAGTCTCAACAGGATTCTCCTCACGCTTGTATACTTCTGCTGCGCCTACTGATTCTCTTCCCCTTTTAGATGTGGTTGTCGTCCTCTCGCACCTGCACCAGAAGTACACTGCAAATACGGAAAGAGAATGATTAGTCAAGCTGTTCAAATGAACTAGTGAACTGAACTGATAAACGTTACGCAGTTTCTCAGTTACTCAATAACTTATTTACTGCTTGATAATGGTTTCTAGTTAGCTCTTTATAAAAAATATCTTAAATTCATAATTGTAATATCTGTTTACAACACAAACTGTTTCTATCTAGCCTCGCTTCGTCATTTATTTCTATCTAGCCTCGCTTCGTCATTTATTTCCCTACATTTCATAGATTGTAAAAGCCCAAGCTTTAATTTTTGTCATTTTACAATCATGAATAGTTTTCATATTGATTGCAATGGCCCAACACATACACCCATATCCAATGTCTCTGTATATGAGAAGAGAAAAAAAAGTAAATACAAATGTACGAAATGGCATTGGGGAAATGCAGCTTGAATGTCACCAGCTTTTGGATGGGAACTAGGTCAACAGAGGCACCCTGTAAGTCAAATTGAATTATGCTATGAAGGTCCCCCTGTATACATAAACATGTACCAATACATACACATATATATCTACATTGTATATATCTCTATGTATAAACCGATAGAAATTTACTTTGGCCTAGATCCTGAGGTTCTGTTGCATGTGCATTATATGCGTTTCGCTATAGACGGCGACATACTAACACGGCCTCAAAAATCTGGCACCAAAAAAAACCAGGCAACCAGGTCGTTACTTAATCAGGCAGCTGTTGCTATGTCAGAGAACAGCACAGTGAAACCAGAAACAGAGAGGGTGGGAGGTAATATGCATTTGGCTTTGCAGCTTTTCAATCTGCCAGTAGCAACAGCACATGTTGCTAACGCTGTGACGTCATTTAATATAGCAGAAGCTAGGCTTAGTGAGCAACATGCTATTTTTTGTCCATATAAACAATTAGCAGTGTTTCGAAGGTCAGACAACTAGAGGAATTGCAACAAAAAATTACTTAAGTCACGCTTGGCAACAAATGCTCAATACAATTTGCTAAAAACAGCTGTTCAGTATTTGTGTTAAATTTTTTAATGCATGTGTTGCCCAACACGTTGGCAACATGTTCTCAAAACCAACACAAATGTCAGAGAGCACGCTTTTATTGCTCTCTGCCTCTCTCTGCCTAACTGTGTGTGTGTGTGTGTGTGTGTCGCTCTCTGGCTCTCAGTCGACTGGTAAACATGTTTGTCTTTACTTTTGCTTTTGTTTTTGCGTTTCTTCTTGACCTGCATACACAATATATAACTAGCGCGCGAGACGACGCTTATGTGTTTGTGTGCGTCTATGTGTCTGTGTTTCACAGAGTATAAACCTTACAGAAAGAGAGGCAAGTGCCTGACTGACTACTAATGTGAGTGTGCGTTTGTATGAGAGCGCTGTTAGAAAACATATGATTTTTGTATTGCTTGTTCGCAATCAGTTGGTAATGTTTGCTCACACGTATTTTGAGCGTAGATGTGAGCGTGAGCAGTTTTGTTTATGGTCGCTCGCGTCTACATACTTATCTACATATACACTTGGCCCACAATAGACAAGCATTTACATACATATATGTATGCATACACACACACACACACTCGCAAACATAACAGCTCGTACGAAAATGAGGGCAAGCGAATGGAACGTAACAGTCCAAACAACAAAAACCGCAAAAGTAGCACCAGAGGAGTTTAATAATATTTGATTACATTATCGCATTTTCGCTTTTACTCATTTTTTGTTTGTTTTATTATTTTATTTTTGCATTAATTATGTTTTCTTTTATTTATATTTTTATTTACCAGGTCTATGTATGTATATTTGAACACATGTGTGTGTTTTTTTTTTGGGACCAGGAAAGAGCCAGATATAAATCATTTAAAATATGACGCAGTTGAAATCGCTTACAGCTCGTGGCGGAACGTAACAAAATGAAACGTGGCAGTTCGCTACAGATACTAATGGAGGTGGGAGGGAAAGAAGAATTGCGATGGCTGGCTGTGTGTATATGTATGTGTGGGTAGCTAGCTGAGATTAAGTGAACGGCATTTTGGCAACATACTTAATCAATTGCACTTTTTGTTTTCATTGTGAATTAATTAAATTTCGCTTTGGTCGCCGTCCTTGGCATGCTTTTGATTTTGCAATCATCGTTTGTGTGTCAATGCATGTGTTGTATCTCTCTCTCTCTCTCTCTCTCTCTCTCTCGCTCCCGCTCTCTATGTACATATACATAAATATACATATACATAATATATTCATATATGAATGCATGTGCAAATCATTTTAGCTGAGTACGTTCTGCCTATTTAATGCACTTTTTCTTTGAGGCGCAGTGCACAATTTGCATTTATGTATTTGATTGAAATATGTATGTATGTATGTATTTATGGGTGTGCCATTATGCAAAATTACGGAAAGGAAGCCAAGCAAAATATATTTTGTTAAAACAATAGTGAAAGGTAAACTATGTGCGCACAGCTCTACAAAATTGCAGACACACATACACACACAAAAAATATATACAATATACCATAAAAATTGCTTATACCGTCGCTAGATGGCGCTGCAATCAACAAAAACCAGTTCACTATTGTATATTTGAAAAGCAAAAAGTGTTGCAAAACTTTGGAAAACAAGTTCCGACGCTGTCGTCGCCGTCGCCATTGCCATCACCGTCACCGCCACCGCCACTGTCGCTGCCGCACTCGCAGTCGCCTTTCGCTTGGCTGCTGCTTCCTTTGCGTTTGGCTGCCATTTGATTATGAAATGCGCCAAAGGCAACGGACGCCCATGTCCAATGCCCGATGTCGGCGAGTACAACGAAAAAGCGTCAATGATATGGAAACGTTTCCAACGCACATCCAATTTGTCTACTTAGTCACCGTTTGCTAAAATGCGTCACAAGAATATACATACATATGTATGTATGTATAGATTTTCTTATTATTGCATTTAATTCTCAGTTCATTTTTCAAAACAAAGTCATACGAAAGGCGGAAGTGTCGCATCGTAATTAAGACAAGTCGACAATATATATCGCACGTTACATCACACAATATATACAAATATATATTTATACATATGTTTGTATGTGTATTTCGCTATCTTTCTCTCATTTTCACTCATATTGAATGCCATTTTACACGAGCTGGCCAATTATTCAAGCATGCGAGTGTGTGTCTTTGTGTGTGTGAAGCCCGCAGATGACTTTGATTAGACAATAGAGCTTTTCAAATCGCTGTTGACCTCGTTGTCGACCTTACAAAGTGCCCATGTTACAAGCTACCCATCCACCTATCTATGTATGTATCTACATATCTATCTATGTATATGCACATATCCATCTATGTACATTGCTACATACATTCATATACATACATATGTGTATGTGGCTACACGTGTGGCGACAACCCTCTTTGCCGCCCTCTTTTCACAGCTGAGCGACCGTTGCGTTTGAGTGGGCGCCTCCAGAGGGCGCACCTTCCGATACGGGGCTCGCTTTGAAGTGTAATACATAAACATACATACATACTTGTATATGTAAATATGTATACATTATTATAGACGAGAGGCCATAAGTTAAGGCGTTACACGACTTTTTGCTGGCTAAAAACGTTTGATACCATAATCCCAAGGTTTTTAAATTCGACAAGGAATATGAAAAAACGCAGTTTGTCGTAACGGAGCTTAAATACCCGTGCATGCACAAATACATACATACATCCATATGTACTATAACAATTTAAACTTTTTTCTCTGGCAGTGCACTTTTCTGCATTCGATACAATATCGAAATGAAAAACACTTACCTTTCGATCCTTTGTTAAAATTCCATTATTTTTGCTTTGTTGCTGCAATTAGAATGAGAGGATGAATGTTATTTAATTGCAGCTAAACAAGGTTACCATAAATATATTGTATATCAAAGGAGAACTGTGCACATTTATACACGTGTACATAATGAGGTATTGTTTAGATATCGGCATTATCTGTGTTCATTGAGTGGGGAATAAATTAATTTGAGTAGAAAAGCTTAATTATTCAATTGATACACACTGAGGCACCCTGTTTCTTACACAATGCTCAACAAAGAGTTACATGGCTTCGCTCTCTCCCTCTCTTACACATTTACTCTCCCTAGCACAGCCACATACACATCCACAATCTGAGCGTCGCGTCGCGTCGCTCACATGTGCGCAGTAAATGGAAAAAGCAAAAACACAACCACACGATTAAATTGTAAACAAACGCAAGGCATCAGCAGCGGCAGCGGCAGCTACGCCAGCAACAACACAGTCGCGTTTACTTTTGCTCTTGCTTCTGCTCTTCCTCTTTGTCTGTAACGTGAGCACGTGAGTTCGTCTCGCTTCCACAAATAGTGGAAGGGGAACGTCTCCAGAAGAGAGGTGAACGGTGACAGGACAACAAGGCGCAATTACTTACAACTGTGCATGTATTTGTGTGTGCGTGCTTGCGTTTTATTTTTAGCCAAAAAATTCAAAATGCTGCCGCTTTGCAAATCGAGAGCAAACGCACATTCACGTTCTGAACTGTGAGCTGAAGCAACGTGCCGACGAGGAGCAAAAGCAAATGACCGCTCGGTCGAGCCAAGTGTGTGGAGAAGCTAAAGAAAGAGCCAATGCCTCCTGCGCATTGCACGATTTTATTTTTACTCATTTTTCTTTCAGTTTCTTATTTTATTTGATTATGGAATACTTGCTTTTGCTATTCTGCATCACACACACACACACACATACACACACACTTTCTCAGCTCTCTGCTCATTTACATTACCAACTGCGCACGTATAAAATTACACGCGATGCGACGCATTTTTGAATTCTTGAGTGTGTATGTATGTATGTATGGGTGAGTTGTTTTTATCGCTCTTTCATTTTATTTTACAGCTTTACAGTGCCCAATACGGCAACAAAAGCTACAAATTGGCCCCATAACAGCAACAAGATGAAAGCAAATAAATTTAGTTTATACATATGTATGTTTTTATTTTAGTATATGCTTATACATACATATATAATATATAAATATTCGTAAGATAACAACAGCTGTTTGCTGTCTGTTTTGTTTTTTGTTTTCATTTCGAGTCTCGCATTTGATTGCCCATTTTCGGATATTCTCTTATCTATGCAAATAAAATCGTCTGTACACACATACACATACATGCATATATACGTAAACTTGTATGTGTATGCATAAGTGAAAGCTGTAATGAATCTAATTGGAAATTGGATTTTAAAACGACTGTAAAACGCTTTGGTTCGAAATTAATGCGACCCAGTTGAAATTCTTACTGTATTCAAGCATTATCGGAACAATTTTGTTACTAGTTCATCTGAGCCAAGCTTGAACCGGTTCGCTTGATGATTGCTTTTGGCTTAACCTTGATGATCAGCCAATTTTATCTTTGTGTGCGTGACGCTGCTGTTGCGCAACTGGACGCTCTATTTCTAAAATTCTTATCGTCGCTGCGTGTTACACAAGGCCAACGGCTGCTGATGCTGATGTAAATCAGTTACCAAAATGCTAGCACCATTAGCAACTGTTAACCAAAGCTCTAACGAACAACTGCACGATGTTGCTTATTCGACTGTTCGCACCTGCGACGTGCCAGCTGATTGTGGCTCAAGTTGGCAGCGCCGCGCCTCAAATCTTGACAACTTGATAAACGATCCACGTTTCATACGTATGTACATACATACATACATATGTGCATATACATACAATGTGTAAGAGTGAGCGAGAAAACAAACGGCAACTTTACTCCACAATTAGAAAATGTGTGTCAATTATATTACAAAAAAAAAAAAAAAACTCAAAAGCATGTATTTTTCCTGACTTCACACACACCCATAGTCTCTCCGACGCACACACACATGCAAGTAACTTGAGGGAGTGGAGGAGTGGAGCAAGCGAGTGAGTGAGTGAGCGAGTGGCTAAGCAAGCAGGCGAGTGAGCAAAAGGCAAGAGCGATATTTGAATTGCTTTTCTGTTATTTATTCGTTACACAAGCGTAACGCCAACGCTGAAGGGGGCGTCGCATAGTCTCCCAGAGAGTTTCTCTGTTTGTGACATTTGTATATGTGTGTATGTGCATGTGTATGTGTATGTGTGATCTGCAATTATTCAACTTTGACGCTAACTGCAAAGCTTATCCGCGTGTGTCACTTTATATTATATACCAATGCATATGTACATAAATAAGTATATATATATATGTATATTTATATACATGTGCGCATGTGTGGGTGGGCAAGCTTATGAGCTTTGGCTATTACGCTGTTATTGCTGTTCTATGCCATTGTATTACGTCACCAACACATGCGCAACGCACAGCTGAGTGCCTGCAGCGACGTCACACAGTACGCATACATGCGCATGTTAGTAATTCAAAACATACAAACATACATACATACATACATAAATAAATACAAACCTTTTATCTCAAATTGTTATTTTTTTGAACACTTTTGCTGACTGCGCTTCGCTTTCAAAACTTTTGAATTTGATTTAATTTTGAATTGTGCCTTGCATTTTCAACTGTTCCTTTTTGTTTGCATTATTTTAACTCTTCACCGTGTTAGTTTTTTGTCGCCGTTGTTGTTGCTGTTGCTGTCGCTGTTGGTTTTGTTGTTGCTGTATTTGCTTTGTTTTAGTTCTTGGCGGCTGACAACGGCAGCAGCATTCCAAATGTGAACGTAGCATTTGAATTTTCAACGGTTTTGCGTTGCGTTTTTAACGTGAACTGAAATCGACTCGAACTGAACTCAACTGAATTGAAATGAATTAAAAGAGGACGTTTGCTTCACGCATACACACGCGCACACTAATAAACAGGCGTATCAGTCTCTTTCTCTCTCTTTGCTGCTCAATGTCTATATGTGTGTGCTCTACACGAGAACGCGAAACAAAACATAAAAGAAAAAGAAAACAAACGTCAGCAGGCAACTGCGAGAGTGTGGTAAACTTTGCACAGGGCACCTGGGCGACTAAACGCAATACAAAAAAAAAATTATTGAAAAACTTGTTCACTGCTTCGATTTTAATATTTGGCTGTTCAGTTCTTGCTTTATTGCTGAATATATATACATATATCTCTGTATATGTATATGTCTTAGTCTCTTGCACTTTTGCTGTGGTATACCAGCAGCCAGCCAAGTTTTAGCTTGCTTCGATGGAGCTTTTGCTTCACTTTGCTTTGCTTTGGCTGTCTCTCGATTTTCGACCTCGGACGTTTTGATGTTGTCGCTTACGCTGTCGCTGCTTGAATGAACGCCAGCGCTGCCAGCAACTTTCTAAAACAGCTGAGCGAGCCTCAGCCCAGCCAGCCAGCCAGCCAGCCACACGACAGCAGCAGCGAAACACACGCCAGATAAATACATATGAAGGTATATACGCTGCTTGCTTTGTTGCTTGTGTATATGTGTGAGTTGCTTATGTATAAAGCGAACGTGCCTTATATACATGCATATATGTATTGCTTGTGTGTGTGTGTGTGCGAGTGTGTTATGTATTGAAACTACGCCGTTCATTTATTTATGTACACGTTTATGTATGTAGCTAGTTTTGGCATGGCAATACGTATCACAGACACTTTACGTTGTTAGCAACATATGCTGCCAAGATCAACAATGTTGCATCAACAATGTTGCTGCGCATGTATACAAAAATCATATGGGATTTCCACTCGATTGAGAGCCAGAGAGCCCAAAATATAAGAAGCAGCACGTCAAAACATATGCGCGACAAGTAAAAAGGAAATGAGTATATATTGTGAATACACGTATGTACATATAAAGGCAAATTGTTGGTGGTGTTCGTGATAGCGTTTCAATAACAAAACCATGCAGACAACGCGATACACACACACATACAGTGGCTCACACCTTATTTCGTGCAGCAGCATAGTAGAACTTTGAAACCGTATTCCCGCTAAACCAGTAAAGATATCCAAAAAATTTAAATGAGGTTTTATTTATTGGTTATTCATTATGTATTAACACTTTCAATTATTTT